ATTAGCACAAAATATACGTCGAATAGTATTTCCTACCGACTATTTCCATAAGACTATATTAATGATAAATATTTATACAGAAAACAAACTAACAATTTTATCAGAAGGAGGTTTTGTAGAGAGTTTAGTAATTTTATATAATTGAAATCATGAGTCAATTGAAGCTAGACCACCATCGGAAACCTGGAAGCACTGGACCGCCAACTCGTCCTATTGTGGGACTACTCAACAGTACACATCTAGGATCCCGCCTAGCGAGATTCCAACCCAGGACCTATCAGTCTCACGCGCGAGCACTTAACCTCTAGACCACTGAGATGGCCGGCATCCAACTGTGTTAATGACTATCTTCAACCAATCCACGGAATTGAGCAACCACTCACCAATTGTCTTCAGTGAGTTGATATCTCCCAACAGACCTGGTTGAACTCCACTGGTTACTGCTTCTCACTAGAACTCCAGGAAATACTTAATGGAGCTAGTCACTAGTGGTCTAACTTCAATCGACTAATGATTTCAACTGTTTAAAATAACAATTTTATAGTTGATATCAATCATTCACAGAAAAGTAGACAATATCCAGTGCTTCAGTGATGATCAATTAATATCAATCAAATTATTTTTATCTCCATGAGCGATAGAAGCAAAAAAAATCTAGCTGAACAGATATTTTGTTGTATTACGATATTTTTGAACTTGACAACCCAAATCAAATGGCTTTCATTTCTAAATTTGTTAAATTCATAAATTAATCCTTCTAAATAACTCAACTAAACAATCGTATGTTCATCATTACTAAGCATAGAGAGGGAGGCGAGTAGATGAGGACAGAACTCACATCTAGTGCTTTCTTCTGACTGTGTTCAGCCACCTAACATATTGAATAACCATTATATATTATTACAAATAGACATATGTACTTCCTTTGTATGGAATTCATACGACGGACCAAACTGCAAAGTCTCGCATGGAGGACCGCTAACAGACGCATTCCAAGTGAAGATCGCTGTCAGACAAGGCTGTTTATTCTCCTCACTTCTCTTTCTTCTCGTGGTTTACTAGATTATGAAGACCTTCACGTCTGAGGGCAAGTACGGAATACAATGGACAGGTTGAATGCAACTAGACGATTTGGACCTTTCATGTCACCTATCTCTTCTATCCCATGCATACCGACAAATACAGGTCAAGACAACCAGTGTAGCAGAAGCTTCTAAATCAGTAGGCCCCAAAATACACAGGGGAAAACGCAAGATCATCAAACACAACACGGAGAATACCAACTCTATCACACTTGATGGGAAAGCTCTGGAAGATGTTAAGTCTTTCACGTATCTAGGAAGCGTCATCTGTGAACAAGGAGTGTCCGATGCGGAAGTAAATGCAGCATTCCTACAATTGAAGGACACTTGGAACTCAAAACAACTATCAACCAATATCAAAGTCAGAATATTCAATACAAACATTAAGACAGTTCTAGTGTACGGAGCTGAAATTCGGAGAACTACCACAACCATTATAAAAAAATGTTCAGGTACTAATAAAAAAAAACAATTGTCCATGCAAGATAATCAATATCCGTTGGCTGGATACCATCAACAACAACCTACTGTTTGAAAGAATAAACCAGCCTCCAACTGAGGAGGAAATTAAGAAAGGATGTTGGAAGTGTATAGGACATACATCAAAGAAATCACCAAACTGCATCATGAGGAAAACCCTAACTTGAAATCCTGAAGGGAAATAGAAAAGAGGAAGATTAAAGAACACACTATGTTGGGAATTAGAAGCAAACATGAAAGGGATTGTCCAGGACAGAGTTGAATGGAGAATGATGGCGAGGGGTCTATGCTTCTTCATGAGGGGTAACAGGAGTAAGTAAATAGGTAGGTAATATGTACTTCTTTTGTATAGACTGCCTTTATATTTCCATATAGTCACCATGTATCATTATCAAAAATCGACCATTAAACAACAATATTGTTGGCATCTACTCAGGATCTCAACTAAACTTAACTAACAGAATTGTACGTTTAAATAATAACAACAGAAAAATAGGGAAAATATTCTATTTTATTCGGGAATATCGTGTTGAACTATTCATGACAATATACTTAATAGATTTAAAACTGCATTAGACTCATTGTGAATCACGTAGTACATGAAGTAATATTAGTAAAAATTCATCTTATTCTCGATGGGGAATTTGTGGAGACTGTAGGATTTTCATAGTTTAAATCGTGAAATTATATTATATTATCAGTGGAAATCTGGAAGCTCTAGACAGAACGATCCGGGAATCGAACACAATACTTTCGGTCCTAAATGCAAAAGCTCAACTTTTAGATGATAAAAACCTGTACTGATAATAGAAATATCTTCATTAGTGACCGAATTCGAGATGCTATTTTTGGATTTTTAATGAGAAGCGGTAATCAGTGGAGTTCAGGAATGTCGAATGTGAAATCCATCCACTGTAGTCAATAAATGAATTGCTTGAAGTTTAACAATAACACCATTAGGTGCCAGGTCAGTGGTTTAAATGTTAAGCTTTAGGGAGCGAAACCGGAGTTTCTGGGTTCGATCCCCTATAGTGAACTCAGAGATGTGCACTTCCGACGAGTCCCATACTAGAATGAAACGGTTGCCCAGTGCTTCCAGGCTTTCAAAGGTGGTCTGGTTAGGTGATATCATGATTTAAATTATGAAAGCGAATCTTACTGAAACCATATAATAATTATTTGTTTCAGTGTTCAAACTGTGTTTTTTTTAATTAAGATTTTTTTGTTGTCACGGCAGCAAATGAAATGTATGTTGAAGACATGCTAGTCAAGTGTGAAAATATATAGACATCTAATTCTCACCTTACATTTGATCATTAAAAAAATTCAATGGGGCATGATCAGAATAAAGGAAAATTCTACTTCTTTTTTTCCGATAATGTTACTTCAAGTTTCTATGGGAAAATCTAATGAATAAAAGTGTGATTATGAATTTTAATGATGGTTACCACTAGATGTAATCCAGTCAACCATATTCCTCACGAATTTTTAAGGAAAAAAATAGTTCAAAATGATCTTTACTATCTCCCTTTTCACAAAACCTGTTTTTTATACATTCGAAATGATTAAAATTGGAAATATGAATAATTGAATGTGTTGGCGTAGTGATTTTATGGTATCTTAAATGTCCTTGATTCTATTTAGCGAAAGGTCATGAGTGTACTCTGTGAAGGAAGTTCCAAAATAGGATGAAATAAACGTTAAGTCCTTTATGTTTGTTTCAACTGTGTTCCATATGATATTCAAACTGATCTTTGTGAACCATTCAATTAAATATCTAAAAATAGTGTTTGAATTTCTTTTTTTTAACTAACATGGTACATTTTTATCCTCCTTACCGTATAAGGTATTATGGAACTTTGGATTTTGACTAACTGACTGCCTGATGTCATTTTCATCTAGGAGATCCATTGGCCCTATGTCTGATTCTATGAATGTTAAGCTAAAAATGTGGATTTCTAATAAGTCAAGATGTACGAAGAAAGAACTATCTAAATTTGTGAATCAGATGCTTGGCCCATTGTAACAAACTGGTAGGTACCTGCTGGTTAGTAATTCTGAAAAGTTACTCTCCATTGATAAACTAATTATGAATTGACACCTGATAAAATTGTTATGCACAGTATTTATGCCATTTAATTAGAAATAATTCATCTGAATAACATCTACACTCAGTACATTAGGGAATCCCGTCCATAACTCAGTAAGCATTCCCCAAACAAGCCTAAATTTGTAAATGAGATACCATCCCAACTACTTCTAACCACCTGGTAGTCCAATGTAGTGCAGGCGATATCGAGTTGCTCAACTTAGTACCAAAAACTGGAACTTAATCAACAGAATTCTGTCAGAAATAAAGTACTAAACAGGCATAAAATTAGCCACTACTAAATGATCAATCAATTATACTATAGAATGGTGTTTAGTGTTTCATAAAATAAATGCAAAAACATACAAGGACAGTGGTCTTTCTTCTCTATCGTTATTTTCTAAATATGTAGTTGAAAGCGTGAGTCAATTGAAGTTAGACCACCATTGACTCACGCTTTCAACTATGAAAATACTAAATCTCCACAAAACCCCTTCTGATAAATATGTAGTTATCGATCGCTGAACTATTTTTTACAATCCTTTTCCGCTTACTATCCTCAAGTTTATGTTGAAAATCGTTAACCATATAAGCTGAAGTTGACATTCTTTTAACTTCCATCATATAATGTAATCATGAAAAGTTAGACTACAAAATGAATATCACTTATCCCTGAAGTTAATGTACGATCTAGTTACCATGCCGTATGAAATTCATGTGTGAGAACTTTTCAGTATAACTTAGAAAAAACTTTTGGACTAATGAGGTGATTTTGAAAGACATCTTTCAATAATCAGGTATATGTTTAAAATAATCCAGACCGTAAAACAATCCGTTGTTTTCTGCCTATCCACTCTCATAATTTGATTGTGAAGAGTTTAAGTTTTTAATGTCAACCACTTCACTACTTATCCCCTGCTTTAACCTTTCTAGACAATAACAGGAAATATCCCCTTGAATTAATAGTATTCAGTAGTTAGTGATTAATTCACTTCATTGAATCAGTGTGACAACTAGCTATTAAATTGTCTGCCCCCTGTAGAAACAAATACATTAAGCCATATGTCATGACCTTGCATACTTGAGATACGTTCACACCCGCCCCCTTGAAGATTAGTTAAAGCGTATGATATTTCGTATGTTGTATGATAGCCCACCCACTCATTTATTGCCATACGTGCCATGCTTCACATACGGACGCACCAATCTCGTCGAATGACATATGAGCTGCCGCATGTGTCATGTGACAGCTGTAGGGTGCCAATCGGAGCAAGGCAGGTTTGATAGACAGGGTGACAGCAATATGTATACTTCAACCCTAGGCAGTGAGCGCGAAAACACACATATGCGGACAAGTTTAATCTCCCCCACAAATGTTTCATACATGTGAGATAAACAGTGGTGCGTCAAACTATTATTTGCTCAATACTAGTGGATTATTATATCTCACCCCCTAACTTTATCATATGTGTAGCTTCTGACGCTATTTGACACGTCGTCAGAATGCCACTATCAAAGAAACATGAAGTTTGTAGTCCATCCATTTTTAAATTCATTGATTTGGAAAACGGATGAAATGCAAACATATTAAAAATTCACAAATTTTCTAATTATTTATTTATTACCTAATAAAAAGCCGTGTAATTGTGTCACCTTAGATTAATAGAACAATTCGAGAATAATTACTTTCTGGGTGAAAAAATCTATACGAAGGAGAAAAAAACAACAACAATAGAACTAAACATGGGTCTTCTCCCATTAATTGATGCATCCGATGTATTAGTCCTACACTGTCCATTATGTTATTTCCACACACATTGGTTAAATCATCTAGAAATTCACTTCAATCACGAACATTCAAATGAAAATGTGGATTTTATGTTATATCAATGCTCTAAGTGTCGAAAAATTGCTTCATGCAAAACATTCCTCTATGAACATATTGATATTTGTCATAAAAGATCCGGTAAGTCTATCATTCAATCATCTAGAACTCAATCACCAAATAATACACAATCGGATCATGAAAGTATTAATATTCAACAGCAAAATTCACAAGCTTCTGAACAATATAACAATAACCATAATGCATCAATAGATATTATTGATCCTAATGGGGTTATTAATAATAACGGTGGTTTAACTACTAATTCGAGTCATGATGAAGAACAAATTACCAAGGATATTAACGGTGATGAAAATGAGACCACCAATAAAAGTGATGTTAGTAATAATAGTAATAATAATACTAACAAGGGTGACACTGATGAGTTTACTAATCACAATACTCCTATAATTAATGATAGTAATGAAAATAATGAGAAAGAAGAACCAGTTCTTAATGATACTAAAAATCATCAATCTCCATATATTAAAATTTTATTTGTAGGCCAGTTATGTGGTGATAATTCAGCATTGTCACCATCAACCCTATCTACAACTGGTACAATATCAGCAAGTACCATCATCCCTACCGCTGCTCCAGCAACACCTTTACCATCAACATCTTTATGTGAAACATTCACAAAATCAAAACATAATTCATTACATTACTCACAAAAATTGCATAATTATCATTATTTAAGTTCAATTAAACATCAATGTTTATTTTGTGATTATACTAGTTCGGATTCTACTAAATTAGCTGAACATTATGTACAGCATGGAATAAGACAGTTACAATTACCAAATACTATGCATAAATTTAAAAAATTACATAGAATTCAAACAATATCTGATAAAAATAATAATAATAATGATAATATATCAACGAATCCTTTAACAGTTATGGATGAATTGACTAAAGTAAGTCATTTGAATAGGTGTTATTATTTCTTGTTTGTTATTACTGTTAATATCATTGTCAATAGTAGTAGTAATAATGATCAGTGTCTGTAAACGTCAGATGACATAACACAGCATTTATCCTATTGAGACAGATTGGTACACTCTTCATCCCACTCAGAATGTTCGCTTCTAGTATTCTTTCATATAGACCTTATCATTCTGTTCTTTATTATTATCAAATCATATTTTCAATATTTTCCTATTATTACGGATAAGATCAATTTTAGTCCTTTATCAAATTTCTGGTGTTGATTTTATCTCGTCTTATTAACGTGGTTTAGTGACTGAGGCTAATATACATTTTTCCATTACCCTATACTGATTTTGAAACATTGACTAACTGAATGATTAGTCTTATTAAGTTGTAAAAAACTACATGGATTATGTTATTGGATAGTTATACGTTAAATGGACTATTTTGTAATACAAATTTGGTTAAAGAATAAATTCAGTTACAATTATCATTATATAAACAAATAAATACGTTTAACAGTGAATTTTTATTGAAAGTATTATTTCAAAATGTTATTAAAGTTATTTTTATAGTGAATGGTCAACAGTTTCACTAAAATTAACAATATACACCATGGATACAATATTCGTCATGATAAATGAGAACATCAGGTATGATGCATGATAAAGCCTATGGTGTGAACTATACAGCAAAATTGATATAGTGTTCCAGTGCTTCTTGATCGTCATTGGAGTGGTTATCATTTGAATGCTGTCTGTGAGAAAAACTTTAGCAAAAGGTCTTAAAGGATTTTCGCCATGAAAATCAGTTGCAGAATTATTAAGAACACAAAATGAAGTGTTTCGTCTTAGTCTGAGACTAGTTATTAGTATACACATAGTCGTATGTAAGATCGAACTCAGAATTGTCAAGCCTTTGAGAAGACCATAAATACTTGAAGCCGGGAAGTATAAGAACTTAAAGAAAAATCTATTTAGTACCATTTTAATTGTTCTATGTAACTACTTAAACTATAGTGATTTATGTAAAGAAAAGAAAAAAATTATTCTTTGTAAATTATTCAGAAATAATATAATTTAATAAATTTCAACTTCAGAAGGGAGTTTTGTGGAGGTTTCAGTAATTTTATAGTTGAAATCATGAGTCAATTGAAGTGAGACAACCATGGAAAACCTGGAGATACTTCCTGGCGTTCTAGTGAGAAGCAGCAACCAGTGGAGTTCAATCAAGTCTGTTGAGAGATACCAACTCACTAAAGACATTGGTGAATAGTTGCTCAATTTCGTGGATTGGTTGAAGTTAGAAATTAACACCGTCGAATGCCGGTTCAGTGGTCTAGAGGTTAAGCGCTCGCGCACGAGACTGATAAGTCCTGTGTTCGAATCCCGTGAGGCAGGATCGTGAATGAACACTGCTGAGAAGTCGCATAATAGGACGAGTTGGCCGTCCAGTGCTTCCAGGTTTTCGATGGTGGTCTAGCTTCAATGGACTCATGATTTCAACTATGAAATTTCAACTTACCTAAATGTATTGTGATATTCATTCAATTAGTTATACATTCTTACCTCTTAATAATTGATGGTTAAAGTTGGAAAATGATTATTTCTTCTTCTTAAATTCACTAGTTGCTGTATTCACAATCAAAAATAATTAATGTAACTTATTGTAATTTCATGATATATTAAGGGTATTTGGTTGTTATTGTTGTCGATTAGAATAAGTATTCGAAAAGTTCCACTTGTAACTAATTACTATAATCGATCTAAGTAAACAATGGTTCTATGTTTTCACTAATAACTAGAATCAATAAATTATGTTTGTAATAGTCCTACTATTAATGAATGTGATATGATATTGTAATCTATAGTAATGAATGATTATATTGATATATCACACGTTTAACTGATGTATAAAATATAGTCTATTGAATTTGCAACTGATGATTTGATTGTATCATTCTTGAAGAAAAAAAAGACCTTTCATAAGTAATATATATCTATTTACTTTGGTTTGTTTAACTGTTCAGAGATTGTTCTCTTACTTGGAGGTTCACTTATCAACTTAGAATACATATATACAACATAATCTTATTTATTGAAGATAATGGGATAATGAAGAAGGGTCTTGGTATCATGATGAAGAACAATATAATCATGTTTAAAATGCTTTTCTTTTTTTCTCTTTCTATGAATGTTATGTTGGTATATGTAGGCTACCTGATTAGGGTCTGTGTAATAACCACAATTAGTGGTTAAAGATATAAAGTTACATGGCTCAGAATCGATCAGAGTCTCATGAATCCATTCACATTTTATATTGTTTTATTCCTCCATACAAATCTTTCCATTCTTTACTCTCGAAATATGGTGTCATTTTCTGGTCTTCTTATTTTAATTACTACTGCATTAATTTAATTTTTTACTACTCATCTTATCGATTTCATCTCTGAGTGCTGATATGGCATAGTAACATGTATTAACGCACATATTTGTCAAGATCAGTGTTAATTATAACTGATTAACTGGATAGTTATCTCATCCCTAGACTGGAACTTCTCATAATTTCTTGTTCATCGCTTCTTATACTCAACCTTGTGTATATGTCTATGATTGTGCTCAATGCAGTCTGAGAAGATAAAGTCACAAGGCAGAAGAACACTGTCAGGTAACACAGTCCCATAGTAACCGTTAACGAGATTAAGTTCGTAGGTTATACTGTTTATTCTATAGTGTAATGATAAAGAATATACGGTTCAGTAGCTAATAATAAATGTCATTAATAACGCCGTTGTAATTCTCTGATTTATTCTTTACATATGCAAAACAAACCTTAACTGGAAGAAGTTTATCTGGTTTGTAATTTTAACTGTGATATAACTTTTTTTGGGCATGCCATCCACCTTTATTTATCCATTGGTTGTGCAACATTACCTTTTATTTCGCCAAATATATATTCATTCTTTACTTGGGCTGACGCTTAGTTTAAGAAATAACACGCCAATATATTGTTTTTCTTCATATCAAATATCAGGTTCAAAGAAGTTGTAAACAGAATCTTTCTTCATTCAATACATTTTGAGACATACTGTTTTCTTTTCGAAAAAATCTAATATCAAATTAACTGGAAGAAGGAATGATCTAGGTCAAGTATTACTCCTTGTATAATCGTTTCTGTAGTATTTTTTCCTACTTCATGTACTATTAAATCATTTAATTTTACAATCATGATACTCCAAAGTAAAGTTAGTGATGAAACATGATCGACAATAGTTAATAAGTAATGTTCTCTTAACTTAAGTAATGTTCATTACTGAAGAGAGTGTAACTTGTAACAAACTAAAGTCTTAGTTCAATTTGTATTGGCTGTTTGAATCTTCCCATTGATGTTTAGGACTGCGATTGATCAGTCTTTTATTAGTATATGTGCATTATGTGCGAATTGCCATGACATTGCCTTAAATCATAAGCATTATAAGAAGAGATGGATGGACATCAACAGGTACATCCAGCTAACGAGTCCCAAATGGTATGAAACAAGCGTCCTGGATTTCACTACTAGCTATCATCTATCTCTACTGATAAAAATAATGTCTTCTTTAAATACCCCTATATAAGGCATCAATCATTTACATCATATAAAAATATTATTAATACTACTCTATCATTAAAATTGAATGATTGACATCTCTAGGTCAACTGTTGACTATTCAATGCTTTAATCACTAAACGACTATCCCAATAACATACTTAATACAATTTTCAAAGTTCATAACGATTGTCAGTTGTTTATCTGTATTTATTCATGTGAAAATTTTGTCAGTCACCATGTAGACTATATTCTTGTTATATTCCATAACATAATGGAATAAAACTCCTTAGGACAATGAATTCATTTTTAAATATTCAATGAAGACTATGAATGTCATCATGTCATTTCATTAGTTATTTAGAATTGATGATATATATATATATATATATATATATATATATATATATATCAAATGATATTTATTTCAGAAAAAAACTAACATACTATCAATATTCTTTATTTATTATCAGAATTGGGAGTTCGGGGAGATTGTGGTAATTTTAATAGTTGAATTTATTAGTCAATTTAAGCTAGACCACCATGGAATACCTGGAAGCACTGAGCAGACATTTCGTCCTATTATGGGACTCCTCAGCAGTGCGCATCCGCGACTCCGAACGCGGGACTCGAACCCAGAGCCCTCAGTTTCATGAACGAACGCTTAACCCGTAGACTACTGGACCGGCATACAACGGTGTTAATGTCTAACAAATGAATGTGTTGTGTAACTGGTGACTTGGAAAAAATGTAGTTACTTTACAAGTTATTCAACAACTTTTAAGTAATTTATATATTCTCAACTAAGTTTATATCATGGTAAGCAGAGATGGGTAGTGGCTAGCAGTGGATTCCAGGACGCGCGTTTCGTCCTATTTGGGACTCTTCAGCTGGATGTAACTGCATCTCAGAGTTGATGTTTACTCTGGGACTCGAAAAATGTAGTTACTTTACAAGTTATTCAACAAATTCTAAGGAATTTATATATTCTCAACTAAGTTTATATCTGGTTTTATTGTAAGTTGATAAGTACTAAAATCTATTTAAAAAGTGACTTATTTGGTTAAAACTATTAGTAATTACTCCTGAATGACTTAAAGATAAAAGTCTTAAATTTCCTTATATATAAAGTTAATTGCTGAATCATTGATTGATGAGTCTATGGAACACTCATTTGAATTGATATAGTGACTCTTAAAACTGACTTGGTCGTGAAAATAATCGTCTAGAATGCTGTCAGAAGTGTGTGGGCAGTCATTACTTCACTGTCATCAACACAGCAGAAAGATACCCCTTCTTGAGGTACCTGATAAAGCAACTGGATTAGTATGGAATTTAGAGACCATGAGGTTGGTCATACATTGCTTTTTACACTAATAGTGCTTCACTTATTAGCTTC